CCTCACCTCAAATGTCCCTTCCCATCTAGTCCTCTGCACTTCTGTTACATCTTTCGACACAGAAAAAGAACGCAACAGAGAAAGTAAGAGTCACAAAGAGAGGAAGAGGAAGAGAGAGAGAGAGAGGTAGAGTGAGTGATACTCTATGTGTGTGTGTGTGTGTGTGTGTGTGAGAGAGAGAGAGAGAGAGAGAGAGAGAAATGAGGGAGTGAAGGTTGGGGAGGTAGCGCGAGTCACGAAGAGGACCTAAGAGGAGCAAATCAATTTAAATATTGTTAACCAATCTCCTTAGACCACTCATTAATCAAATCTAAAAATGATATATAAACAACCAGAACCATTACCATTTTAAAGTGCAGTCCCGCTAGGTAGCTCAAAAAATTGGAGGCTCGAGTACCCCAAAATCCCAAAACGACGTCGTTTTGGCCTTTTTTTTTTCTTCTTCTTTTCTTCTTCCTTTCCATGATTGCAGAAGAAGGACGAAGAAGAAAGAAGAAGGAAGAAGAAAGAAGAAGAGAGAAGAGGAAAGAGATAGTGGAGAAGCCAAATCTGGAAAATCTGGAAAATCTGGAAAATCGAAGCCAAATCTGGAATGAAAATCAAAGCTACATCCATGAAACAAATCAAATCAAAGCCAAATCCATGAAACAAATCAAACCCAAATCCATGAAACAAATCAAACCCACAAATCCATGAAACATACACATACACACACATAAGTACAGATCTGGAAAATGAACATGAAACACACACACACACACACACACACACATACACATATATATAGAAAAAGAGAAACGGAAGAGAGAGGGCGGCGATGGAGGTGGTGTAGCGGCGACAGTGGTGGTCGCTGCAGTGACAGAAGAGGAGGAGGAGGAGGCAGCGACGACGACGACGTGAGAAGATCGGCTCCACCTCCTTCTCTCTTTCTTCTCTCTTCATTTCTTCTCTTTCTTTCTCTCTTCCTCCCTCCCTCTATTTGACAAAAGAGAGGGAAAAAAAATAAATCAAAACAACGTCGTTTTGAATTCGGGCCATTCAAGCCTAGGAATTTTGAGCTCTGAACCATTTTTCTTTAAAGTATATGCAACACACACAAATGATTTTTTTTTTTTGCAAATGATTAAAAAGTTGGCGTTTACACGCGCGCCTACAAAGAATCTGAATACATCAATTGGTTTGTTACATCTACAACAACAGAGTTTTTATTTATTGACATACACAGAGATCGAAATAACATAAAATAAAAGAAAGAAAAAACTGTATTTGAGCATATTATTTTGATCAGAAAAAATAAAATAAAATAAATCATGCAGATCCAAAATTAAAATTCCGAACAAGTATCTAAAAGGTATCCAAGCATATTAATATAATTATTGAAAAAAATCAAAATAGAGCCATGATATTGTTGTGCAACAAAGCAGTAATGTACGAGCACGAAATATTCTTCTTGTATAATCCTGTTGATCAAGTCTGCGCTCCTCCGTACACCGTCGCTTTACTCCCTGAAAACACAAACGTGAGCTAGCCGGCGGGTGTGTGCTGGATATCTCTTCGATGCCTAAGTCAGCAAAACGGACAAATAGACAAAAGCTCTGTGTATTCGGGAATCAAAGTTGTGTTACCTTTCCATAGGTGATGTTGTGAGCTATTATAGGTTCCGTGTGGCACAATCCTAGTAGGACTCTTACTCCTCCATGTAGAGTCCTCCTAGGAATCATATTCTTGAAAGATAATGCTTATCTTTCAACACTCCTTCACTGCTTAAACCAAGTGAGATAGTTTTACCATGGTTGGATGTCAATACGACCGAGTTAACATGACCATGCTAAAGCCGCAGACTAGACCAAGCTCCAACTAGCTCGGTTTTTCCTTTCACTACGTGTACCTCGGTTTGACATGCTCCAACTAGGCTGTTTACTTAATACCGAGCTAATCCAGTACGAGGTAGGAGTTAGCTTGGTGCTCCAATCCACAATACCAAGCTAGCTGAGCTCTCCCAAGTACAGTGCCTAGCTAGCTCGGCCCACAACCGCTTAGTCTTTTGGACCGAAGTAAATCTGCTTTTACATCGGTCCATCCTGCGGCCCAATTACCAAAGAAGTCTCCTACTTAGCTCGGCCCAATTTAGACATAAATTACCCTCTCAATTGCTCCTTAATTCCATCTGTATAGCATGATAGGGATTACCTGTCTACCTGCCGAGCTAAAATCTTTAGCCTTTCAACCGAGCTAAATTCACACCGTGCTACCAATCTGTCTGGTTAAAACGTCTCTTCAAGGGCACGTGGCAAACTCTCATTGGCCCAGTATAGCTGTCACGCCGTTCTTCGTACTTCGCAATATTTGAACAGTCCCGTCTAAACTCAAATTCTTCACAAAAACCCTACTCTTCAAACGCAACATTATTCACCTTCTTCTCTCTCTACTTTCTGAGTTTTTCATTTTCCTCAATACTCCATCTGCAAAAGCTCAATTGGGACTGATTTCATCTTCAGCTCCTTCATTCTTGACTGGTATGTGGCTCTCAAATTTATTTCCTTTCCATTTATTTCATACTTGTTTTTACAACACAAAGCATATTATTCATATGTTTTTCAAAATATATATCATGCTTGCTTCCATTTTTCTGTGAAAAACCATGTAATAGAACCACTTGTATTCACGAATATTTTGGAGAACGATGTATTTGATCCAAAATCACACTCCAACCGAACTAGGAAGTTGTTTGTATTAGGTGCGAACCTAGCCAAACTAAACAACCGAACTAACACTTCATGTCATACTTGTAGTTTCAATAAGTCTAAATACCTTGTGCTTTACTTAGCCGAGCTAGCGAGCTGCCTTAGGTTCGCGCAATACTGTGCTAGAAAGCCTCAACTGCCAACCGAGCTATAACTTGGGGCTAAACCAGCTCCCTTAATCAAAACCGAACTAAGAATGCTGCCCCAATAGCTTCAATCGAGCTAAAGTCCCTCGCTTAAACCGAGCTAAGAATGATAGTATCCCACGTAGCTAAGCTAGGACTTCATTTATCTTGCCTTTGTTTCTTTCAGCACAGTCCAACGATTTGTGCTTAACCTGTCTTTTTTACTTTGCAGACCTAGGTTGGCCAGGCACTCCTTTGAACGCTCAACCGAGCTACTCAGCGTCATCTCAGCACCGATCTAACACTCGAAATTAATTTATACATAATTTAAACCCATATGGGAAAGTATAGGTTCTTAGTAAACTCACCAGGTGCCATGGTCGAGTTCCGAAGGGACTACCATATCCCTGATGATGTCCATCTTACCTTAGCCGAACTAGATACCACACCTTGGGGAAACCCTGGCTTTGTTCCCTTTACTCTTCTTTCAATTGTAGAAACTGGACTTAGATTCCTTGTACATGCTCTTCTTTGCGAATTCCTTAGGCAAACAAACCTCTGCCCTACCCAGCTTTCCACAAATTCATACCGCATAATAAATGGCATCGCCGAGCTAAACCGCCGGGCTAGCCTTAATCTCGGTTTAGTCGAGCTCTTCCACCAATGTTCCATAGGTTCAAATGAGGATGGTTGGGTTTACTATTTAAGAATAAGGCACCGGCGTGAAAAGATAATAAAGAATACCCCAGACAAGGATGTAAACGACGATGATTTATTCTGGGTTTCTAGGAACTTTGAAGACCAGGAAGCCCAGATCCCGGGCAACCGAATAAACTGGAACAAAGGAGTCGCCGGTATAATTATCTCGTCTCGATTTCATGTTTTCTTTTACTTCGGTGCTTACTTTAAACCGTACTAAATGTTTGTCTTTCTTCTTCATGCAGATTTGAACCATCTCAAATCCCTGTATAGCTACCCGAACTTAAACGCACTTCAATATCCCAATAGAAGTTGGGCCGAGCTATTAAATTTTGAACCGAGATACAGATACAGCAGCCGCAGGAAGACCAGGGTGACCGATTTCTTATTGGAGCCCTCGCCTGAGCCTGATCCAACACTTCTTCAGGTCAACTTGATCCCATTGACAGCGGAGCAAGAGATGGCCAAGAAGAGAGCAGTAAGGGCCCTCCTTACCGAAACAAACTAGGCTGAAATACCACTAGCTGGCCAACCTGAAGAGACCATGGTAGCCCTGCCAACCCATCAACCTTCATCATCTCGGGCAAGCAAGCATGCTCGAACTTCCACAACCGAGCCACGTCTTGTCGACGAGGATGAAACAGTGCTTCCCCAAACCACTCCACCGAGCCCACAACGTGAGCGCTCCCAACGAGCTAGCTCTTCTAAGTGGGCACCAAAGGTTACATTCCAGAACCGTGCTATCACTGAGTCCGATTCAGTGGTCGCCGAAAAAAACCATCTGATGGCATTCAACCTTGCCAAAAGCGTTTGCCTTCCAGCCGATATGGAGCACCACGACTATCTTACCAAGCTGAAGGCCATTCGCTCGGCCACAAAATCAATGGTGCTGGTAAGTTGCCCCTTTGTTTGTCTTTCTAATTTGTTCATCTTTCTGCTCGGTTTTACTAAAAATTTTCTTACCACCCTTTTACAGGCCGTGCAGAAAAACCACATCGCTCACAAGCGTGTGTTAGAACTGCGCAAGTCAACAAGGCAGGCCATGGCAGAGGCCAATGCCAAAATCGCCGAGCTAGAAGAAGCGAAGAAGCAAATAGCCAAGCTACAAACCGAGAGGGTTCGTCTGGCCGGTCTTGTCAGCTCGACTGAAGCAGACAAGCAAAAGGCGGCGGCTGCAATAAAAGATAAATATCTGCGCGAGCTGGCCAAGCTCGAGTGAAAAAAGAACACCGAGATAGCCGAGCTCAAGAAGAAGGTTTAGGACGTGGAAGACCGCGGTTACAAGGAGAGGGAGGCCACTTACATCAAGCAATGTGAAGCTGCAAAAGATCTATTCTTCAAATGTGGATGGACGGCGGTTGCGGTGCAGCTTGGTCATGGCCCAGAGACCGAGGTCTTTCTTAACCCTCCTCCGTATTTCATACCGAGCTCTATGGCGGAGTACACTGCTGTCGTTCAGCAAAAATTTTTGCAAGAGGAGGACGAAGATCCTGCTCCAAAAGACAACACCCAGCCCGGCTGCCAGTCTATCTCCCCAACTCCAGTGGTCTCCGTCCCACCTTCACCTGTTGCAACTGTTGTAGCGCCATCGACTGAGTTTGACCTAGAAGTGCTTGCCACAACCGAGCTACCTCTGGGTGAAGATCGATTTGTTGTGGATGCCGACTTGGACGACCTCTTCTTCTGATTTTTCTTTTCTTTGTTTAACAAAGGAGTTTGTAACTGGGCTGAGGCTCCCCCTTTTGTATTTCTGATTTGCACTACCAATGAAATCTTCTTTTGTTTTCCTTTATTGTTTGTTCGGTTTACTTTCATGCTTGTACTTTCCAATTGTTATATGAATGCAGCATAACATTTTCTGGCCGAGACACCTATCTCGGTTTTAACCTTGAAATCTACCTGGTCATACCTGCCAACCTCTTCAGCCTAGGTTTTTACCTCGGCTGAAGATCACAAAAAGGTGTTTGTTCCAGCCAACCACTCATCAGCCTGGATCCTTATCTCGGTTGAAGAGTACTCAAAGTTTGTTTTTCCAGTCAACCTCTCTTCAGCCTGGATCCTTATCTCAGCTCAAGAGTACTAAGTGTTGGTTTTTCCAGCCAACCACTCTTTAGCCTTGATCCTTATCTCGGCTGAGGAGTACTAAGTGTTGGTTTTTTCAGCCAACCACTCTTTAGCCTTGATCCTTATCTCGGCTGAGGAGTACTAAGTGTTGGTTTTTCCAGCCAACCATTATTCAGCGTAGATTCTTATCTCGGCTAAAGAGCAATAAATGTTGGTTTTTCTAGCCAACCACCCTTCAGCCTAGATCCTTATCTCGGCTGAAGAGCAATAAGTGTTGGTTTTTCCAGCCAACCTCTTCAGCCCAGATCCTAATCTTAGCTGAAGAGAGCTCAAAGTTGGTTTTTCCTGCCAACCCTGAGTGAAGTGTTTGGTTATTCCTGCCAAACGTCCTACAGCCTAGATCCTTTTCTTCGGCTTAGGAGAAGTGTGCGTTGGTTTTTTCAGCCAACCTCTTCAGCCCAGATCCTAATCCTAGCTGAAGAGAGCTCAAAGTTGGTTATTTCGTCCAACTCTGAGCGAAGTGTTTGGTTATTTCGGCCAAACGTCCTGCAGCCTAGATCCTTATCTTCGGCTTAGGAAAAGTAAGTGTTGGTTTTTTCAGCCAACCTCTTCAGCCCAGATCCTGATCCTAGCTGAAGAGAGCGTAAAGTTGGTTATTCTGGCCAACTCTGCTTTTGTTGCCCCTAGCTCACTAAAACAACTTTTATAGAATAAAACAATTATGCTGAAAAGAAAACTACTTGTTTTATTGAGGAAAAGAAGAATTACAAGTACTTTAAAGAAAAGCTAAAAATAAAATAATTTAAGATTGGCAATGTTCCATGGCTTGGGAATGGCTTTGCTGTCTTCGTCTTCCAAGTGGTATGCCCTTTTTCCTGCTAATCCAACCACTTTGTAAGGTCCTTTCCAGTTGGGCCCTAACTTGCCATCTCCTGGTATCAGGGTGTTTTCCATTACTTTGCGCAACACCCAATCTCCAATCTTGAATTGCCGTGGATGTATTGTCTTGTTATACTTTCTGGATAACTCTTGCTGGTACGAGGCAATGTGAACCAGTGCTCTTTCTCTTCTTTCTTCTGCAAGGTCGAGCTCTAATGCTATGGATTCTCCAATTAAGTCTGGATCAAAGTTTTCACTTCTAATTGTGGGGAGGCCAACTTCCAGTGGGATTATTGCTTCCATGCCATAGGCCATGGAAAAAGGCGTTTCTCTAGTAGACCGCCGAGGTGTGGTACGGTAATCCCATAAAACATGAGGGAGCTCTTGCGCCCATTCGCCTTTTGCTTTCTCTAACCTTTTCTTCAATCCATCCAAGACGACTTTGTTTAATGCTTCCGCTTGGCCATTTGCTTGGGGGTATGTCGGTGTAGAATTGTAGAATTCTATCTTGTACTCTTCACAAAAGCCTTTAAAAATTTTGCCATCGAACTGAGTGCCGTTGTCGGATATTAGAGCTTTTGGTATGCCGAACCGAGTGATGATATTCTGCTAGATGAACTTCTTCACATCTTTCTCCTTTATAGATGCTAGTGCTTCTGCTTCCACCCACTTTGTGAAGTAGTCTGTTGCTGCAAGGAAGAACTTTCTGTTGCGGGGTGCCGTTGGAAGTGGTCCTACTATGTCCAAGCCCCACATTGCGAAGGGCCATGGGCTAGTTAATGGTAGAAGCTCTCTGGCTGGTTGATGTATTTGGTGTGCGAACTTCTGACATTTCTCGCACTTCTTGACATAATTCTCTGAATTTGCTTGCATGTAAGGGCACCAATATCCTTGCGAGATTGCCCTATAAGCCAATGATTTTCCCCCTTGGTGGCTTCCGCATACGCCTTCGTGTATCTCGAACAAGAATGCTTCAACTTTGCTGGGATGAACACACTTTAGGTAAGGTCCTGTGAAGGATTTCTTGTACAGGGCCATTGATGGGGAGAGCCAAAATCATTGCGACTTTGCTCTAATCTTGTTGGCTTCTTTCTTTTCTTTAGGTAAGACGCTGTCTTTTAAAAATACTATGATGGGATCCATCCATGAAGGGCCTGGTTCGGTGCAACATACTTCAGCTTCGTGTATCTCGAACAAGAATGCTTCAACTTTGCTGGGATGAACACACTTTAGGTAAGGTCCTGTGAAGGATTTCTTGTACAGGGCCATTGATGGGGAGAGCCAAAATCATTGCGACTTTGCTCTAATCTTGTTGGCTTCTTTCTTTTCTTTAGGTAAGACGCCGTCTTTTAAAAATACTATGATGGGATCCATCCATGAAGGGCCTGGTTCGGCGCAACATACTTCAGCTACTTCGGGCTCTTCGATGCTTGGTCTTGGCAAGAAGTCGATCAATAATGGATATGGGATGGATGTATCTGCCATTGAAGCAAAGCCTGTTAGTTCGTCCGCTTTACTGTTTTCTTCCTTGCCTATCTGCTCTATCCGCAGTACTTCAAATTTCTTGATCTCTTTTCTGACTAACTCTTGGTACTTACCCATCCTGTCATCCTTTGCCTCGTAGTCGCCTGAAATTTGGTTTACTACCAGCTGTGAGTCACTATAAACCATTAGTTCGGTGGCCTTCATGTAGAGTGCTGATTTTAGGCCTGCCAGAAGCGCTTCATACTCCGCTTCGTTGTTTGATGCTGGGAAGCCAAGGTTGACTGCTTGTTCCACTATTAGGCCCTCTGGTGAGATGAGAACTATGCCAAGTCCTACACCGTGCCTGTTGGACGCTCCATCCACGAAGAGCTTCCACATCTCTCCAACGAACAACTTCCAGCAAGTAGAGGGATCAGATGATGCCTTGGGGTCATTAGTGTTACTGGTATTTTCTTCAAAGTCCACACTTATTGTTTGCCCCTAATTATCTGATTGTACCAAGTCTTTACTTGTTGATGAGTCTTTGCTTGGCGTAGCATGGTTGGCTTTTGCCTCCCTTTGTTCACTTTGGTCTGTCGTGGGATGTGGTTGGGTATCCTGTATCAGGGGTTGCGCTATTCCGGCGACACTTTCCATCCCCATTTTGGTTGTACCAGTTAAGTCAACTGGGCAGATGTGATGACTTCCTGGTGTGAATTCTGCAACAAAGTCTGCCAAAGCTTGGGCTTTTATCACGGTTCTGGGTTGAAACTTGATGTCAAACTTTCCCAACTCTACTGCCCACTTCAAGATTCGCCCAGAAAAGTTCGCTCTCTCAAACAAAGCTTTTAATGGAAAAGCTGTAAGGACGATTATGGTGTGGGCGTGAAAGTAATGCAACAACTTCCTTGAGGCCAGTTTTTCCAATGGTAAGTATCTGGTTTCTGCGCCCAGCAATGTCTTGCTGACATAAATGATGAGCAGATGTTGGATTCCTTCTGCTCGGACCAACACTGCGCTAATTGCGTGCTGTGAAACTGTCAGGTACAAAAATAGTTCTTCTCCAGGTATTGGGATCACTAGCAACGGTGGAGAAGACATGTATTCTTTCAAACTTTCTAGGGCGCGGTCGCATTCTTCATCCCACTCAAACTTGGCTTTTAATGCTTGAAAAAATGGTCGACATCTGTTTGACAACTGACTTATGAACCGATTGAGCGCGGCTGCCATACCGGTGAGATGTTGTACTTCTTTTACTGAGTTGGGCCTCTCTAGATCCTAAATTGCTTTGATTTGAGAGGGGTCTGCCTCTATACCTCGGTTGGTCACCAGGAAGCCTAGGAATTTGCCTGATCCTACGCCGAACGCACACTTAGATGCATTAAGGCGCAACTTGTACTTCTTTAGGATCTGAAACATCTCACCTAGGTCCCTGAGATGGTCATTCTCATCCTTGCTTTTGACTACCATATCATCGATGTAAGCCTCCATTGTTCTGCCTAACAATGGTTCGAACATCTTGGTGACCATCTGCTAGAATGTCACCCCTGCGTTTTTTAGGCCAAAGGGCATGACCTTGTAGCAATACAGTCCTCTTGGCATTGTAAAGGATGTGACCTCCTGATCTGGTTCCTATATAGCGATCTGATGGTAACCTCTGTACGCATCAAGAAAGCTAAATCGATGGTGTCCTACCGTTAAGTCTACCAGTTGGTCTATCCATGGTAGGGAAAAGCTGTCTTTTGGGCATGCCTTGTTGACTATTTTGTAGTCCACGCAGACACGCCATTTTTTATTCTTCTTTGGCACCACTACTGTATTGGATATCCACTTGGGATAGTGCACTTCTCTGATAGCTTCTGCCTCTAGAAGATTTCCCACTTCTTCCGCCACTATCTCGGCATGGTGGAGTGCTGATCTGCGAGTGCGCTGTATAATTGGTCTGGCAGTTGGGTGGACATTCAATTGGTGACAGATGAAGTTTGGGTCAATGCCAGGCATGTCATACGGCGTCCAGGCAAACACTTCGATGTTAGAGGTCAAGAATTTCATGAGCTCTATTCTCTCAATGCTGGACATAGATGAGCCAAGCAAAAAAAACTTTTCTGGGTTCTTTTCATCTATTCTTACCTATACCAAGTCTTCCACTACCTTCTGTTCAGCGGCTTTGCCAACATCCGCAAACAATTCATTGCTCTCAGGTTCTTCCACCATCTGAACAAACCCTTTG